ATTTATTGATGACAGTCATTCTGACAGGAATGAGGCAGTATCTCATTGTGGTTTTTATTTGCATTTTTCTGATTAGTGATGTTGAGCATTTTTTCATATGTCTGTTGGCCATCTCTATATCCCCTTTAGAGAAATGTCTCTTCGTGTTCTCTGCCCATTTTTAAAATTGGGTTGTTTGGGGTTTGTTTGTTTCTTTTTGGTGTTGAATTGTATGAGTTTTATAAATTGTAGATATTAACCCTTTATCAGATATATCACTGGCAAATATCTTTTTCCATTCAGTAGAATATTTTTTTGTTTGTTTTATTGATGGGTTCCTTTGCTGTGAAAAAACTTTTTAGTTTGATTTAATCCCACATGCTTATTTTTTCTTTTGTTTCACTTGCCCCAGGGCAAGTAAATATCAGTAAAAATATTACTAAAGTAATGTCTGCGAGTTTACTTCTTATATTTTCCTCCAGAAGTTTTATGGTTTTGGGTCTTATATTTATGTCTTTAATCCATTTTGAGTTTATGCTTATATATGTTGTAAGAAGGTGGTCCAGTTTCATTTTTTTTGCATGTATCTGTCCAATTTTCTCAGTATCACTTATTAAACAGTCTGTCTTTATGCCAATGTAAATTCTTGCTTCCATTGTTATAGATTAATGACCATATAGGCATGGATTTATTTCTGGGCTCTCTTTTCTGTTTCATTGTTCTGTGTGTCTGTTTTTATGCCAATGCCATGCTGTTTTGATTACTACAGCCTTGTAGTACGATTTGATGTCAGGTAGCGTAATACCTTTCACTTTGTGGCTATTCAGGGTCTTTTATGATTCCATATAAATTTTATGATGTCTTAGTTCTGTGAAAAATCTCATTGGTAATTTGATAAGGATTGTGTTTAATCTATATATTCCCTTAAGTAGTACATTTTCACTATATTAATTCTTCCTATCCATGAGCATTGTATATTTCCATTTATTTGTAACTTCTTTAATTTCTCTCTTCAATGTCTTATAATTTTCTGAGTACAGATCTTTTACTTCCTTGGTTAATTTATTCTTAAGTATTTTATTGTTTTTGAAGCAATTGTGAATGAGATTGCTTTCTTAATTTTCCTGACAGTTTATTGGTGTATACAAATGCAACCAATTTGTAAATATTAATTTTGTATCCTGCTACTTTACTAAATTTATCAATTCTAATAGTTTTTTGGTGGAATCTTTGGGGTTCTTTATGTACAGTACCATGTCATCTTCCAATAATGACAATTTTACTTATTCCTTTCCAATTTGGATGCCTTTTCTTTTTCTTGTCTGATTGCTGTGGCTAGAACTTCCAGAACTATGTTGAAAAAATATGTTGAAAGTGGGCATGCTTGTCTTGTTCCTGATCTCAAGGGGAATGCTTTTAGCTTTTCCCCTTGAGTATGATGTTAGCTGTGGGTTTGTCATGTATGGCCTTCATTATGTTGAGATAAGATCCCTCTATTCCCACTTTGCTAAGAGTTTTAATCATAAATGGATGCCGAATTTTGTCAAATGCTTTTTCTGCATCTACTGATAAAACCATATGATTTTTATTTTATTAATGTGGTGTATCACATTAATTGATTTGCAGATAATAAACCAACCTTGCATATCAGGAATAAATTCCACTTGATTGTGGTCCCATTATTCTTATATTGTTCTTTTGATGGAGTCATATAGTACTCATAAAGATGTTTCTTTTTTCTTTTTTTTATTCTCAAGGCTCTCTTCTTCCATCTGCGTCATTTTAGGTTTCTATTTTTGATATCACTAATTCTTTCCTCCCTCTGGTTAGCTCTATTTCCTAAGCTTGCTCATTCATCCTTCATCTCTTTTATTAAGTTCTTAAGCTCCAGAATTTCTATTTGGTTCTTTCTTAAAGTTTCAATCTCTTTGGTAGTCATTTTGTTCATTGATTTCATTTCTGAACTCATTAAACTGCCCGAGTTTTCTTGGTTCTCATTTTTTCAGAACTGCAACCTTGTATTCTCTGTCATTTAAATCACGTATTTCCATGTGTTTATTTTCTGGAGATTTTTCGTTTTCTTTCTGAGCTGCCTTGTTACCTTGGTTATTTGATGGATTATTTCTCTGTGTAGGCATTTATGGAAATGAAATCTTATTTTTTAAAAGAGTGACACTTCTCTATTTAGGTTAAGACGAGGTCTTTCTTTTGTTTTTCAGTAGATGGCACTGAAGCAGAAGTTTTTAAATTTTCTCTTGTACTGCTCTGGCTTCTCATAACTCTTGTGGGGCAGTGGAAAATGCCCTGTATTCCCTGGGGAGGTGGGTGTCTTTGTGACCAAGCCTTGGTCTCAGGGCACCACCCCCATGGGGGAATATAGTGGGTGGAGGTTCTGAGCCCGTAAAATCCCTGCGCTGCCCTCTGCAACCAGATGCTGCCACTAGTGCTGCACTATGCAAATGTGTCCCAGGTGCCCCAGCTGGGGTCAGCTGCCATGTACGGGGATGGGGTGTGCCGAGAAAGGCCAGCTCCTGCATTTGTGGCTTTGTTTTCTTACCAGTAATAGCAACTGCCAGACCTCGGCTGCCTCACCTCTGTATCTCCACCTGTCAGGGGTATTAGCTTCAATATGTATTTGCTGCTCAGGGAGAAATGCTTCTGCCTCTCTAGTTCTCAGTATTGCAGATAGTGTGGTCTATAACCCAACGCCTGCTATAGCTTCCTCTGGGGCCTTCACTGATAGCTATGGGAGGGTGAGAGAAGGCGGCCAGGCTCCGCGGCTTTGTTTACTGCCTGACAATGGCAGCCACCAAACCACAGCTGCTGCATCTCTGCCATCACCGGATTCAGCTGCAGTATGTGCTGACTGCTCAGGCAGAAATGCTCCCTCTATCTCTGTTCCTCAGAGCTGCAGAGAGTGCACATTGCAACCTGATTTCCCCCCTCTCCTAAGACTCACAGTGAATTCTGGGCTGTGTCTGTGGCATCCGTCTCTGCTCTTCTCCCTTCCCTCCTCACCTGTTCACCCTGATTTTCCCACCTTCAGTTGTTTCAATGCAAGGATCTCTCAGATTGTGTGTTGAGCAGGGAATCCTTTGTTGAATTATAGCTATTCAACTTGTAAGTTCTCACGCGATCAAGCTTCTAACATCACTCCTCAATTTCTTAACTGTTCATTCTCTATTTCTTCGAGTCAATTTCAGCATTTTGGGTCCTTTCACCTTTGCAAGCCATTTCATCTAACTTGTTGACATAAAATTTATATTCCTCCCCTATAATCCCTTTAAATTTTATAAATTTTATAGTGGATTCCTCTCTTCACTTCATTTTGGTAATTTTTACCCCATAGTCTAGCTAACAGTGTGTCAATTTTGTTGATCTTTCCAAAGAATTTTTTTTTAAAGATTTTATTAGGGAACTGGGGGAGGGGAAGAGCGCTAGGGAATTGGGGGAAGGGGAACAGAAAAGTTGCTGTCCTTTTGTTCTTCAGTCTAGTTGTGGAGGACGTAGCTTCACTGGCCCATATTGGTATTATCATTGCACTCTTCCCGGGTGAGGCAGATCGGTTGCGGGCCTCTGGACGGCAGCTCACACCAGCTGCCAGCCGCTCACGCTGGCTGCTGGCCACTCATGGTAGCTCATGGCAGCCCACTGCAGCAGGGGCTGCAGCCTACACCATTGCCGGCAACTCACGGCATACCAGCTCCAGGTTGAGCTGTTGTTCACCATCTTAGCTGTAGAGGGCAGTGTCACTGGCCCTCATGTGGGATCCGAACCGGGGCCCTGCTGCTCAGAGCTGGCATTCCAAGCCAGCTCTTAACCAATGCGCTACTCGGCTGGCCCTGAAAGAACTAATTTTTTAAAAATTCAGATTTTTGTCGTTTGTCTTCTAGCTAATTGATTTCAACTTTAATCCTTATTTCCTTTCTTCTTCTTGCTTTGGGTTTTTTTCTCCCTTCCCACCCCTCCACTCAGTTACTTAAGTGGAATCTTAGGTTACTGATTTGAGATTTTTTTTCCCTTTCCCAATATAAGTGTTTGTAGTTATAAATTTCCCATCTAAGCACTGATTTAGCTTCATCCCATGAATCCTGATGTATTTTTATTTTTATTCAGCTCAAAATATTTTGATTTTTTCTTGTTTCTTCTTTGACCTATGGGTTAAATTTTTTTTGGTTCAATTTCAAAATGTTTGTGGATTCCCCAAATGTCCTCCTGCCATTGATTTGTAATTTATTTCTATTGTGGTAGGAAAAATACTTTGTATGATTTTAATTTTCTTGGTTTTATTGTTCTATGGTCTATCCTGGAGCATATTTCATGTATGCCTAAAAAGAATGTATATTTTGCAGTTGTTGGATGAAGTGTTTTATAGATGGCATTCAACTTAAGTTGGTTGATAGGGTTGTTCAAGGTTTTTATATCCTTGCTGATCAAGGTTATCTTTTAAAACCATAAAATAGATGATCTCATTCACATAATCCTCTTGTGGCTTTCCACTGACTCTAGAATAATGTCCAGATTTCTTCCCACTGCTGCCTATCTATGCATTCATGATTACCATTCTTCACTTTGCTCACTTGACTCAATAAGCTAAAGCTACCCTTGTGTCCTGTTATTGATATCAAAATCCATTATACAACATAATTAAGATAGTGTGGTACTGGTGCCAGAATTAACAAGTTGACCAGTGGAACAGAATCGAGTCCAGAATTAAGCCCACATATACATGATCACTTTATACATGACAAAGGTGAAAAACTGTGGTATAGTGAAGAAAGGGTGGTTTTTCTCAATAAATAGTGCTGGATGGCTGGAAATTCATACAGGAAAACTTCTACCTTAAGTCCTATCTCACACTATAAACAAAAACCAGTTCAGTAGGATTTCAGATTTAAAAGTGAAAGGTAAAACAAAAAAGATTTTAGATGAGAACAGAACATCTTCATTATCTTGGAGTAGACAAACAGTTCTTAAACAAAATATGCCAACTATGAAGGACATTGGTAAATTGTACTATATTAAAATTAAGCTTTTTTTTAATCACATGCATTCTCACAAAACAATACATTCAAAAGAACTTATACCCCAAATAAATATATTTTTAAAAACCAAGAAGTCAATACAAAAGACAGTCCACCCAGTAGAAAAATGGATAAGAAGTTGAACAGATATTTCACAAGACACTCACAAGCCAGTAAGTATACATGAAAAGTGCTCAATCTTGTTAATAATCAGTGAAATGAAACTAAAGCCACACTTAGATACTGTTATATGACTGTCAGAATAAAATGGAAAAGACACCACCAAGTGTTGATGAAAATGTGGGACAACTGGAACTTAGGAAAACTGGGAGTATTCAGTAATGCTGAACATAATGTATGTACTGCAACACTGTAATTCCATTCCTAGGCAGAAATGCACACCTACATGCACAAAATCCATGTACTAGAATATTTGAAGCAGTACTATTAATAATTGTTCCCAAACTTGGAATGAACCAAACATCCATCAGATAAATAATATGTGGTTTATTCATGCAGTGGAATGCCATACAGCCATGAAAACATACCTGAACAAATACATGCAACAAAAATCTCACAAACCAAATGTTGAGCAAATAAGCCAGATAGAAAAGAATACATACTGCTTGATTCTATTCTTATGTCCAAAACCAGACAAAACTTATCTATGCTCTTAGAAATCAGGATAGTGGTTACCCTTGGGGAGGTAGTAACTGGGAGCATGAGGGGGTTTCTGGGGTGCTGGTAATCTTGTTTTGGGTGCTGATGGTATGCATGAGTTCTACTTATGAAAAATCACCTACTTGTTTATGTTACACCTAAATAAAAAGTTAAAACAAAATGATTTGCCTCTGCCTGTATTATCAGCTGACTGAAGAAATGATTTCTTCTCTTGGCCTCTCCCCTTGGTTACATTTTCACACTTGCACTCACAACTCCTAACTGTCACTTCCAAACGGTGAGGGTGGGAAGAGCACCCCCTTGCTCTTTAACATACAGACTAAGCTAGGTTTTCTACAGGTCTGGTTACTAAAGGAAGTCTGCCAGAACATGAAATCAAGTCTATTTCTGACTTCCTATCTGTTGATTATTCACTTTTCCCCTTCCTTCCCCTAGTGCCCTAATGTCCTCTGCTCTTTTTGCCCCAAAGCTCTTAGGAGTAAATGCTCCTCTTAGGGAACATTTAAATAAGTATCAAAGTTTTGAACCAAAAGGATGGAGTTCCAATAGTTAGTATTTCAAGTTGCAGATAGTGGATGGGTGTGGAGTCATCTGAGCCTTTCTAACACCTCTGGAAGAATATAACATGTAATTAAGTGCAGGCCTGACTTGGGGCATATGGGATGTTCAAATCTTGGCTCGACCTTGGGCAAGTTTGTATCCTCTCTGTGCCTGGGTTTCCTCATCATTAAAACAGGGTTATCCTTATCCCTACCTCATACAGTTGTTGTAAGAATCAAAATGAGTAACATATATAAAAGTTAGAAAAGTGACTAGCTTAATAGACGTTAGCTATCAATTTGGCTTTATCCAAGGTATGCTGTCCCCAAGGAAGCAGGACCTGAGAGTTCAGAGAGCAGAGGGCTTTGGGTTGACCATAAGTCTCCCCAGGCAAACTGAGACTACTCCTAGGTGTCCTATACTTGCTCAGTATTGCAGTGAGGAGCAGGCACACATGCTTCATGGCTTAAATGGGACCAAAGGAGAAACTGAGAAGAACAAAAGGTGGATTTGGCTGGCCCCTGGCCCATATAAATCTGCAATAAGTCAATCCCTAAATAAGTAAGTGTAGCACCTACTTCATTGATTGCCTACATAGAATCAGGAATGTTGCTGTCAGAGGGCAAAAAATGAAGAAACTTATCAGATGTGTAGTATTTGATGTAACAGCAACAAGGAAGGTGGTGACAACATACACCTATGCTTTCTAGTTGACCAAAGGGCCAGTAACCACCACAGGCATTTTGATACAACTTGGATTCGGCCTCTATTTTGCATATTTTGCAGACCCAGAGACCTTGGCAGTGACTGGCTCATGATACATACAAAGCCTGAGGTAGACAACAAAAGTCAACTTATCAACAGTGAAAAATAATGGTCATTAACAAGAATATTCATACTGATATTTTCTCCCAGTAGGCAGACCTACACAAGAAGCCAAATCTTCATTAGAAGGATACTTGAAGACATATAACAATAACATAATGGCAATAAGCTAATAAAGGCTGAAAAATAAATTCCCAAAAGAGCTAAAGGGACCAGAGATCTGGACATCTAATAGCTGACAAGGTTTTTTCTGCATTTCCACTGATGATCAACACTGCACCCTCACTCAAAGCCTGTCTGACTTTGTACACTTCTACTCTGATGCTCTATTAATGTTATTAATACAAATTTAAACAGCAATCATATTTCCTTAATTTTCAAGTTTGAGGAGGGGTAAACTAGGAAACTCTGTACTGATAATTACACAGATTAGTTAATAGAAGTGTCTAATCAATGCCTTCCTTCCCTGAAGGCAAATTTCTTTGGGGAGTCACACTACAACCAGAGGCTTGGTGGGCATTCACAGAGCAGAGTTCCTACCTGCAGGCTTCCAGCTGTTGCAGGTTAGGACCTCCCCTTTGAATGCAGCTGGAAATGGCCAGGTTCTCTCCTGAACACTGGTTACACAGTGCCTTTCCTTTAGTATATTCTAGGCCCAAAGAATTAAATTTGAGCATTCTTAGTTATGTCACAATCCAGTCATATTCCCAGATCAATCTTCCCAATTTTAGGTTGTGTCCTTCCCAGAAATGGCTGACTTGATTTTCATTTCTACTTTCATCCTTGGAGGACAAGCTGAAGGTCAGGTCTGGGAGTGCTCTGCAGTCCCTCCCATGAACCACTTACATCACTAACCTGACAGTGAAAAGCCACGCTCTGCCCTCTTCTAACAGTTACCCCAAGTCTTGAATGGAAAATTACCAAATATTTAGACTGAGGGTGCACGTGTTGGGAAGTCCTACCAGCGTTTGCCTTGGTGATGGTTGGTCGGGGCCACTTTTCCCTTTTCCCTAAGATGAGTCTGCCCAGACAATTGCAGCAAGGAGATGCTGGAGAGTGAGGGAAGGGCAGAAAAGGCAACAAGGCCAACAAAGCTCACAGGAAAGGGCAAATACTGGAAATCCACATCCTCAGTGTGGCTCTGTGCCTCTCCTGCCCATACAAGAGTTTGCTTAGAGCCCAGAGCCCTGTTCCATCCACTTGAGCTCTTTTGCTTCTCTCTGCTTTGTATTACCAAAAATTACTCCATACTTTGGGGGATTTCTTTTCTCCCCCAAATTAACCTATGGAGTGGAAAGTGCAGGAGGTGGCTAAAAATGCTTTATTACTTGCTTAGAATTAAGACCATTAAATGAGAACAGTGATAGGAAATAATAAAGAAGCTTTTCATGCTCTACTGAACTATCACAATCCTTTTTCTGCACTTTCCCCAGAGCTAAAATGAACATGTCTGTGTAACACTAAGAGCTCACCACCTCCACCGTCCCAGCACCATCACAAAACCTTAGCCTGCTAGCAGCAGCCACCAGTCAGAAGTACTATAACTTATTTTCCCAAATGACTGTGGCAAACTACCACCAAGGCAAAAAGACTTAATTTTTGTAAATTGGTAACAGTTTGGTGATCAAGATTGCAGAAGAAACAGAAATTAGGTAAGTCATGTTCTCTTGATAAAAGATTTGCTATTCCAACATCATGAACAACATATATGAACAAATTAAGAGACTACACTTTTTAAACAAGTACTCTGGATAATTATAGAAAGTAATGTCTTTTTCAACATGCTTTAAAGAAATGATTTTTAAAAGAATATGCACTAATTGCTCTGCTTTGCTCTTTAAGCTTTTCACTACATCTAAAAATTGGCAAGTTTTCTAAACAGTGATGTTAAAGTAAGGACAACAGTAGCTGTCAGTCTTGGAAAAGTAGTCCAGCAAGAAGCTAGGGTTGATGATTATAAGGGTTTTGAAACGGCAAATACAAATTCTGAATGGTGATGAGATTCTGGATCCTACTGTGCCAAGTATGACGTTGTAATAGAGGAACAGATACTGCTTCTTTCTGGGGTAACGGGTCTATAGCATGTAGCACCATAACCTAAATCTAACATGGGGAGAATTAATCTGAAGTCTATCAGCTTTTTTTTTACAGCCCTATTGCAATTTCATATCTAAATCTGAGGAAAGTGTACAACAGGTTTACATGGGAGAGGTTTTCATTATATCTTGAGAAAAAACAACTACAGCATTTTGGTTCAATGAAAAAAGATAAATAAATTACATTCCTGATATCTTGAAACATTAATTGCTATGATAGGAAATTCTTCAGAGAAAGCCCCCCAAAGCCAAAGCAATTCTATGTTGGCATCTGAAATGTTTTATCAGTTCCAGAATTGCAACATATTAGCAAATAAAGTAGTTATTATTTATAATGAAATGTAATAAGTGGCTAAAATTCTAGTTAAGTAATTTTTATGACAATCTAAAATTTAGTTTTAAATATAACTTTAGTAATACATATTGAACACTTACATTCAACTGCACAGAACGCAATGTTTAATCTTAAAAAACAATTAATAACAAAACTACAGAATAAGAGCACACACCTGCAAACCAGTACGATGCTCCCTCATCAGTTCTGCAACTGTAATAAATTTAATACTGTAAACAAACATTGAATGAATCAGAGCTCTGTGGAAAGAGTTTAGCGGCTTTACAAGTCAATTTTTATGAGCTAAGAGAGTAGAGGCAAATGGAATTTTTAGAACATTACTTAAAAATAGATTTTTAAAGACAAAGGTCCCAACTCATTCTTATATACACACATAAAAGTTTATCTGTCACAGACAGCAAATATTGAATTTATACACTGGAGTTTCCGGCACTATCATGTACATTTAGAATAATTGAACAGAAAGTTGTCAAATCTATCTAAGGTGGATCATTCAAAGCTGCATAACGTGGAACACAGCTGTCCTGGTGCTCACTGCTGCTTCTCAAATGCAAAAACCAAGTAAATACCTAAAAAGAAAATAAATAAAAGTTAAGAGTTTGGTTTTTCATATCCTCAAACAAAATCTCTGTCCTATTTGCAATGTGGTGAAAATTCTTAAGGCTTCAAGCAGCTTTTGAAAAGGAAAAATCCTATTATTATTATTGTAAGAGTTCTTCAATTATTTTGAGTCATTTAGACAGATGTGGGATTACATATGATGTTTATTTAAAAACAAATGTCCAACTTACAGTAATTCTCAGTGACATCATAGCCCTTGAGAAAACCAATTCAACAGCTCTAAAAATCTCTGAAGACAGTTTGAGATAAGAAAATTTGAAGGTATAAAAGCAAGGAATATCAAAACTAAAAAAATCTTATGACTTAATTCTTTTTACCTGGAGCAAGATAAATAGGTAGAAGTTTTCTATTCAGAAAAAAATAAAAAAAATTATAAGGAACATATATAATGTGCATACTAAAATTCCAACTACTGAATTGCTGCGTTGTAGGGCCTGGTAAAGAAAGTGAGCCAAAAGCGACATGATAACCGATGCTTAGAGATTTTAATCTGGCCCCAACAGTGATACTGCATGAACCCAGCCCTAAGAGTACTCTCCCCTAAATAAGGTTTCTTGCTTTGACATGTGTTCCCTCAAAGACATCTAAATGCATCTATGGTTTTCCATTCTGGATCACACTTAAGTTCAAACCTCTATCTTTTAATAAATACCTATAGATTTTATGGTAACAAAATACCTGAAAAGATGACAAATCCTCAAAACATTACAAGGATGTTCAGGGTGTGTACTAGGACATTCATTCAACCAGTGAGCCAAGATGACAGGCCACGTAACTTGGGAGTCCTCGCTCCTTGAGTTAACTTTTGAACTGCGAACAGATGAAGGACACCAGACCACAAAACAGCCTCCTGATCCTTCAGCTTTTTGCCCTTCCAACCCAACCTGTACAGGAGTACCATCATACCAGTCTTTCCAAAACATTACTTTGGTCATGCTATTCTCTGCTTCTTATCTACTAGTCGCTGCCTCCCCCCACCCCCCCTTAAGGAGAAATGAAACATGGCTAGCAATATAGTAGACAGGTAGACAGGTGGACAGAAAACAGGCAGGGTGATCATCAACACTATAGATTCTTCTAGAGGATAAGAAAGTAAAGCAGTCTAAAGCATTCACAAGTATGTTACGAGATTTAGAACAGACCAGCATTATTTATCTTGCCCTGCATTCTAAGGTCACAGTGCAGCCCTGCCAAACCACCCCAACACACCTACATCTACTGCAAACGACCGGGCAGTCCTATCCTGCCCTCACTGAGGGTCATTTGAAACCACTAAGATGCAATGTCTGATTTAAGAGAAGCAATTACTACTTTACCTTTCTAACTCAAATATTCAAAAAGTCACTCTTGAACCATTTCTCAAAGCAAATCAGCAACAATTCTCTCCTTTCCTTTCACATGAAAACATTTAGAGGAAGCAGCAGGCTGTTGTAACAAGAGCTTAATGATTAGACCAGTAGGAGTTCAAAATAAAACTTCCTACATTTATTAGACTGTGACACCAGGCAAAATACTCTCCAGCCCACAAAGCCTTCTAGTTTAGAATAGTGGACCTTATCAAAGCTGACTGGTCCCGGGCGCTAGATTCTGGCTGCAATTTGGCCATTGTTTCTTTTGTATTGCTTTTCACATCTCTAACCCATCTCTTCCTGAACTGTTTAGGGCCATCTAATTCATTTATATGTTATCACTAAAGTCCACAATTAATATAAAAATACAGCTCTAAGCTACAGCCATCACACCATCTCGGCCTTTGACCAAAGTTGTTTTCCCTCACACCATACTCTGGGAATGGTAGCATATCTAAGATAGCTGTTCCATCTCCAGTGTGAGGAAAGTAAGGAAATGTATAGTTTCATGCATATGTCTCAGTTTATCAAAGATTATGCCTCTAATACATCCTCCAACTCCATTTCTACTAAGGGTACCAATATTCACAGACAAATAAGCTCAAAATGTTGGCCCCATTTATATTTTTTCCTTTTTCTCTCCAACAAGTCCTAAGAAATTTTTGTTTCATGTGGGCTTCCTTGAGGCCATGGTTATGAGTATGGACCACCTGGGTTAGCTTTGTGACCTTAGCCAAGTTATTTAACTGCTTTTTCACCTGTGAAAAGATTAATAAATAGTTGACTTGTAAAGTTGTGAGAATTAAATGAGCTACAACATATGAAAAGCTTAAAACAGTGTGCCCGGGCACATGTTAAACACTCAATAATGTCAATTATTATTTCTCAGGTTTTGTGAGTTTTCATTAACCTCTTCTTCACCTATTTTTCCCATTACAGTAACTTTGGCACTTAAAATTGTTTGCCTAACTAGTGCATTTACTTGTGTCTGTTTCTTCCATTAGATCTGGAAGGCAGAGCTTATAACTTGTTTACTTTTTTATCCCCCTAAGCCCTTTCATAGAACTTGAGGTAGGTCAACACTCAGTGTTCACCAAATGGATTGTCTCTGATTACTACTTGTGCCTTCAACATAATCAGCAAGTATTTAAATAAACAGTGGGAACTATTTTTTAAGTCCTTGGGGCAACCACATAAGGGTATTATCATCATCTTAAAAGTGAGGCTCTGTGAGCTGACTTCAACATCCATTAGCTGAAGAACCACAGGACTTTACAGATTTGCCAGGCCTCTACTTCTCTTCCAAAGGTAAGTACCTCACTTTAGAATGTCTGCATATAAGGCCTGTCCTCACCCCTATAAAATATCCTGCTCACTGCTCCTTCACTAAATGTTCTAGTACTTATTATGATTTCCCTGTCAACACCAGTGTGGCCAGAATCGAATAAAATACATGGAAGTGTTCCACAAGCCAAAATTTCCAATACAAATCTGAGGTAAAGACATCAACTACAGATAGTTATGTAGTAACAAGTAGACAATGAAAATGTTTAAGAATGCTTGTGAAAGTCTGTTAAGCAATATCCTGCATATATTTTCTCTTGGCATTAAACAGCTGTGCAAGAAAGGGGGAACTAGACATAAGGATTTTGTGTGAACATAAAAATGCACACACAACCTAATATGTCAGAAAATTGTAAAGTTTTCAGGTTTTAAATGATCACTTTGAAAACAATCTTTGAAAATGCCAATAAATCTATACTGATGATATACTCACTTGTAGCTTCCCATTCTGATTTACTTAAGGTTCCCTAAAATTACACCAAAAAAGAGAAAATTTTAGATTGAATACAGAGGTACAATTGACACTTGAACAACACAGGTTGGAACTGCATGGGTCCACTTATACAGGCATTTTTTTCAATAAATACTGTAAATGTATTCTCCTTGTGATTTTAATAACATTCCCTTTCTTTTAGCTTACTTTACACAACATATATAATATGCAAAGTATGTGTAATCAACTGTTTATATTATCGGTAAGACTTCCAGTCAACAGTAGGCTATTAGTAATTAAATTGGGGGGAATCAAAAGTTGTACTTGGATATTCAACCGTGCAAGGGGTCAGCGCACCTAACCCTCATGTTGTTCAAAGATCCACACACACACACACACGTATGTATATGTTCAATAATGGACAGAAGTGCCCAAACAACCCTATCTTTGCTATAAATGTACATACAATTTACTGTAAATATTATCGGATTCTGAACGTGTAAAATAAATCAGATTAACCTTTAACATCATCTTCTCAACACTTATGCCCTCCTGCCAAATTCTCTAAATCACTCATTCCCAACTGAAGGGTGAATTTGCATAAGAGGGTATTCATGTGTGTGTAACTAGTAAAAGCATCTATCTTGTATATTTAACTTGGAAAATGAAAAAATAAAAATTCCTATCTCAAATCATCAAATAGCCTTGCAGGAGGGAATAAGATTTTTGTATTTTACAAAGGAATCACAAAATAAAATACATATCATGCAAAGGAAATAAAATATATTTAAAAGTTATCAAAATATTAAAAAACATTTTGATACAGTAATATATGTGCTACTTTGCACATGCACTGACTTACAAGATATAGTGGTAATTGTAGTAAATGATATAATTTTGAAGAAGCATTAATGTAAACAATATTTTAAGATGTCAGTAGAAATGTGTTCTGCAAATATCTGTAATTTCTATTAATGACAAAGTCACAGCTACAGATCATAACACTGTGTACTGTTGCATTCATAATTTAAAAAAATGTCAACTTCCACATAGGAGTCAGTGAAAATGAAAATGTAATTTTTCCCTATCTAAGTTCACGAGCCATTGAATTTTATCTATGGGATACCATGAATTAGTAGTAGCTAGATTAAGATATAACGATATGGCAAGGAAACTCTCAAACTAAGTCTATAACTTTCTCAAGTACATTTTATTCTATAGTCTATGGCAGGGGTCGGCAAACTGCGACTCACAAGCCACATGTGGCTCTTCGGGTATGTTCAGTCTCAAAAGTTTGCTGACCCCTGGAAGAGCCAATCCTGTCCCTCACAACAATTTAAAATTATTCGAGAGCCATAAATATATTTTTACATAATCATGATTATGTGAATAATATCCTTTAAACATTTTATAAATGAAACTATGATAGTTTTACTTTCATTTTCAATTTTACTTCAAGCCTGTGGCTCGCGAGCCACAGTTTGCTGACCCCTGGCGGCTCTTGTTTCAAAAGTTTGCTGACCCCTGGTCTGTGGTTATAAAAAATCATCATAACTTAGGGAAAACACACTCACATGTATCTGATTTATAACTTAGTGAACCCAAGTTCTGTAAACCAGTGAAGTAATTTCCTAAGTTTCCATATATGTTTTTCATTTTTTTATAAAATATGTTTAAAAATGAAAACTTACCAAAGGTAACCTGACTTGACTGTTCTTCATGTACTTTGCTGCATGTTCATAGTCATCCACCTTCTCAGAGGAAAGTTTGGAATTCTCACCTGCAGGATATGGCTAGGGAAGCAAGATAGTACACTGAAATTTATAATTCAGAATTAAACACAGTAAATTGTTGAAATAAAATAATTAACACAATAATCCCTAAGTAATACAAACTACACATACTTTTGAAATACGGAAAAAAATGGATGGAGGGAATCCAAACCTTTTAACAATGGAGCTGCTATGGTCAACTTTGATCAGAATCATAGAATACTTACAGTTGGACTAACTGTATCATTTAATCACCATCAAGGACCACTGAGCAGCAAACACTTTCATCTCCCTGACTCCATCAAAGGCTTTTTCTGTTACAACACAAAGCTGAAGGAAGGTATTATGAAAAGAGCTAAATATTAATTTGAGCACTATAGTGATTTAATAGCCATGGAAGGCACGAACAGTAATTAGAAACAATACAAATTTAAAACTTGAGTCAACAGCAAACACTGTGAGTTAAAAAAGATAAGGAAAATAATCCAGCCTCCAAAACATAGTCAATCTCCGTATTTCCATAAGAATCTGATAAAGGGCCACCAAAAAAAAAAAAAAAAGGCTGTTTTTAAGGGTATGCTGGCAAAATGTTTATTCAAATTACCTCAAATACTATTTTTAATCCATTTTAACTAACTTCTCTTTATATGATAAAGAATAGCGCTTTGTAAATACATGTAAAAACATAAATTGCATAGACTATTTAATATAACAACCATCTACTCTACAAAAGTAATGTATTCTTTAAAATTACTTTGTCTTCTTACAACAAAGCAGCTAGTAAGGAACAATTTTAGAACTAGATCTCCCTGACAAATTTTTAAGAAAATGATCCAGAAATGTCTTTTTCCTTTTTCTTTATAAATATCGTACAGTTAAGGCCAGGCATTAGAATCCATTTGTTTGCTGTTTAAAAAGTATTTGACTTTTTGGACTTCTATATTGTTACCATTAGCAACTATACTCTTTATTGCATCTAAACACAAGGGATGTAAGAAACACCACTTGTGATCACTAAGCTCTTTTGAACCTTCAATCCCATATCTTGTGTTTCATTGCACCACAAAGCTTCAAACTTTAATTTGAATGACTGCCAAACTATTCTGTTGTAATTTTTTTCTTCAACTAATCAGTGTAATAAGACTCCTCCATGTGATTATTTGCCTGTCACTGGACATCTAGTTTCTCTCCCTTATTGATAATTTTAAAAGACAAAATAACATATGACTATAAAGCTGCAAAATGACTGTTTTTTCTAAACTTGCTGAAATGTATATATCCTATTGTCTCCTCTCAAAGCAGTTACCTTTCCAGAACTGTTTCCAGGTGAGAAAAAAGAAAACATGTGTCAGGACTTTATAAATACAGTTCCTTGGCTTGCATCTTTTCATTCTTCCTTCCATGTGCTACACTGCTCCAGGAGAGCAGAGCAAAGTTTTACTGGTTCTACTGCTGAAACTCTGGGCCAGCTAAAAGCTGATGGCTTTAGGAAAAGACCTTTTATAGCAAACATCAGAGAACAGATCAGTTTAAAATCTGACCTGGATTAAAGCAATAGCATCCTGGCTGTTCTTTCTGCTTCTGGTCTTAACATCCCTCCAAACCATCTTTCATACTCTTGTTCGGTCATATCCTCTCCCACTCAAAGTCCTTTACAGGTGTGCAGACGTGACTTGGTGAAGAAGTAGAAAAAAACCAAAGGACTTTTTTCAAACTACAAACTATTACTGCTCATGAATGTCCCCAGATAGCCACAGTGACAGGTCATAGCCTCAAGGGCTAATGGGGAAGATGGAAGACTAGAGAATACTGTGCTAAGAACTACTGAGTAATTAGTATTTCTTCAAACATTCTCTGCTCTCATGCTTCTCCGACTTTATTCTTAGTCTACTTTCTTCACAAAAAGCCCTTTTATATACTCACTGCACTTTAATCATTTCTTCATTAAGGCAATTCATTGTATTAAATTATTTGCTTATATGTTTATCTCCTCAATATGAATGAGATTCTTGAAGAAAGTGGACACTGTTACCCCTATATCCCACTGTCTACATATATTTTGTCTTTTTTACATTATTTTCTTTTTTATTTATCAAATTTATTAGGGTGACATTGGTTAGTAAAATTATATAGGTTTCATCTGTACATTTCTATAACACAGCATCTATATACTGCATTGTATATACCACCCAGTCAGTTCTCCTTCCGTCACCATATATTTGACCCCCTTTTCCCTCTTCTATACATATATTTTTAAATAAATTACACAAATCAATTCACTACCCACACATGAAGAGAAAATATAAACAACTGATCATTGTACATGTAATGCACCATCAAGTAAGGATAATATACTAAAGGCATGTATGTATGTGTGTGGCGATTTATACATTTCTTTCTAGTTTTCTCTTCTCCCTCAAAACAAAAACAAGCCTCCCTTAATATAAAGCAAATACAAACATTCCTAATTCTAAAGTATAAGAAACATAACCAATGAAGAATATAACATTTTAGTGATTACTGGTTTTAAAAGACCATTTAGGTTTTAAAGAGGACCCTCCTGTTCAAAAACGGGGAGGAAGGGGAATGCAACTACAACAGGAGACTTATGTTGGAATACCATCTATAAAAACTGAAGAAAACCTGAACGTTAATACCACATGAACTTAAACAAGTTACTTATCATTTCTAAGCCTCAGACTGCCCATTCAACAATAAGAAAAGCAGCTGCTTTGCCTTCTTCATGGGGTAATTATGAGAATAAATGAGTATGCTTAAAATACTTTTAAGAAGTTCAATGACTACTTGATTAATATGATTCTGCTGATCAATAACAAAAATACTATTTTAGATCTATCCAATTAAACACTGATAAAAAAACATAAGAAAAACTAATTAATTAATGGCTGTACACTGTGTTTAAAGCTTGTACAGATTACCTTTTCTACTGCATTAGGGAAAGCAGAGAGGAGTCCAGGAGTTAAACAGGTCTCAGGACCAATATAGTCTAAAAGATTGAAATCCTGCCACACAGTCACCAAAGAACAAAAGTATACATGGTATGAACTTGTCTTGGACCCTGGTCAGGAAAGTTTTAAATTACTGATGCAACCAAAGGACGTTACTGTAAAGAAGTGGTTCTCAACTGGGGGTGATTTTGCACCCCAGGGGACATTTGGCAATGTCTAGAGACATTTTTGGCTATCACATCTGGGGGCAGGGGTGCTACTGGCATCTAGTGGGTAGAAGCCAGGATGCTGTTGGACATCCTACAGTGCACCAGAACCACCCCCATAATAAAAAATTATCCAGTCCAAAATGCCAATAGTCCTGAGTTTGAGAAATCCTATTTTAAAGCAGTACTATCTAGAAAATAGAATTTGATGACAGCATCACTCATTCATTGAAGTATTTACTAAGCATCAACCCTAGAAAGTTTCTGTTCCATCCTAGGTGCTGAAGAACCTGGAATAGTTACAAATAATATGTGTAATTTATATCAATATTGTGTCTACATGGCCTTAAAACTCAGAAGCAGCAAAATAAGTTTATCATGACCTGAAATTTTTACACCTTTTCTAAATAAACACTTACCTCCAGGGCCTGCATTCGTTTTAACAGCATTTTATTTTCATAGTTCTTAATCTTCTCTTCATAGAATTCCAGAAATGTTTTTTTGTAGACTAGTTTCATATTGTATTTCTTCACCATTCTGTTCAAAAAAGATTTAATGAAAAGGCTACCAAAATGTTTGTAATTCAATAGCTTACTTTCACAACAGCGACATCTTCTGGGCTTAACTAAAAAAGCTACCATCTCCTCTATATAGTCACAATGAAATGATGCAAAATGAATGATAAGCAACATACCACTAACCATGCCCGTAAGAAAATATGCCTTTTAGATCTCAATGGGTCACAGGTAGCTCTTCATTAATTTAACAAATGAGTCAGGAAGTAAAATGAAAGGCTGTGAGATGGGAATGAAGAGCTACCAGGAACACTTTTCTATTGATTCCATTTTAACTTCATCTCTCACACCGGCATTGAAAACAGCTGCCAACTTCCTTAAAATATTCTTCCTCCCTTGGGTTCTATACAAAGATACACTACTAATTTTTAACCTACATCTTGGGCTGCTTCTTTATAGTTTGTTTCAGTTTTCTTTCACCCAACTTCCAAATTTTAAGGTTCTGAAGAGTCTGGCCCAGAGCCTTACTCATTTTCACTCCGGGTTTTACAAAGCATGCCAAAAGCTATCTGTTCTCAGCTTTCTCTTCTGTCCCACTCATTTATTCTATTGCTTACGAGGAATCTCCACCAGCATGTGGCATAGGCATTCTTTAAGTTCCCATATCGAAGGCCAAACCCCACCAGATTTGTTCCTCTGCCAATCTTTGCCTTTGCAGTAAATTGCTCTAATAATTCATGCCAGAAATCCTGGGAGTTCTCCATGCCTTCTCCCTCTCTCCTTTGCCCGCTGTATTCAACACGCCACTACATTCTCTTCATTAAACTAAAAATGTACTTCAGTAGCTTTCCTTCAGCATCTTGAACTAGTCAAGCTCTTTCCCACTTAAGGGTTTTCAGACATATTGTCACTTGTGCCTGGAAGATTCTTCCTTCCAGTCTTTAACTGGCCAACTCCTGTTCATCCTTTAGATCTTGACTTAAACATCACTTCTTCACAGATCGCTTCCTTAAATCCTCAATTACACTGGGTCTCCCTGTTATACTCCATGTTTGTTTTTTTTTCCACTGCATTTGCCCCAAGTTTATACCTATATATCTGTAGACAACATGAAAGAGCCTGGGATTGATTTCAGGCAGCAGGTAAAGAAGAAAAGGAAAAAGGGGGAAAACACTCTAAAGGATACATAGGAGGGCTTGTGAGGTGACAAGGTGAGGGGAAACATTTGAGGGCCTTTGGGATTTGTATCTAAGAGGCATATGTAAGACAGGATTCCCTGTCATTTGAATTAGCCCTCCTTGGAAACACACCGTGAGTAAAGATAAAAAAAAGTCTCTTCTATTCCGGGCAATTCCTTTTTATCATAAATCTCCAAAATAAGCCTTTAGTAACAAAACCAAGTTTTAAAACTAAGAAATAATTGCAATTACAAAGAACAAAACTCAATCTGACCAATTTGAATAGGTTTGCCATATAAAAGCTAATATTATATTTTTGTTCAGTTTCTTAATGAAATGGCAAAAGGGCACCTGAAAAAACCCTATGCATTTTTGGATTCTGTCTCACCAAATGAAGACCTGTTTTGATAAATAGCTTTTTAAAAATTCAGATGTTAAAGTGACTGTGACTTTATACGTCTATCATCATTAAACAATTTAAGTAGAAAAGATTGCTAGTGCTTAGCTTTTTAAAAAAAGTTGAACTAAAATCACCAACTTTGTTAATCAAAAACACCAAACTAACATATTAAACATATGAAACATGGTAAAAATGTTTAGTTTTTTCTTTTATAAAGTTGAAGAGCAGCACATTTCCCAAAAGTTTACTAATTTTAAGAATAAAAGTGATTTAAATTTAATTTTAGTTTATATTTATAAATTGTGCACAGTATTTTCCTGTTTAGTCACATTCTACTTAACTTTCTTATTATATAAATTTTTATGTACTGTAGAACTCCTAAAAATCCTATTCCCATAATTTTACAAGCTGACTAAGACACAATTCAAATAATCACCACCTAAAAGTAAGCAGGCTTTTTTCCTCAGTTAAAAAAAATACTTTTGGCTGAATTCCTGGGATGGGAGAGAGAGTGGAGATTAAGTTCAAACAATCATGCCTGTCTAATGAAACTCCATGTTAAAACCTTGGACACATGAGGTTCTGAGAGCTTCCTGATGGAGCGGTTGCTCATTCATAGCAGCCTTAAGTGTCACCGTTCCTCTCAACATAGCCCCAGCATTTCCCAAGGGGAATAAAGAGACTGTGGAATTCAAATATAAAGGACTCATACTACATAATACCACCCAGCAAAGACTGAGAGACACAGGGGATCTGCCTAATACATTGACACAAACACAGAGAGGCAGCCAGAATGAGGAAACAAGGAAACATGCCCCAAATAAAAGAACAGAAGAAACCTCCAGAATTGGAACTAAATGAAACAGAGGTAACTAACCTATCAGAGACAGAGTATAGAACACTGATAATAAGAATGTTTAAGGAACTTAGTGAGAAAATAAAGAATACCGAAATCATAAAAAATAACCAGTCAGAATTAAAGAAGACAATAACTGAAATAAAGAACACACTTGAAGGAATAACCAGCAGATTAGATGAAGCAGAGGACTGAATTAGCAATTTAGAATACAGCATAGAAATCACCCAATTGGAACAACAAAAATAAAAAAGAATAAAAAAGAATGAAAATAGTTTAAGACACCTGTGGAATAACACAAGTGCAACAACATGCGTGTAATAGGAATACCAGAAGAGAGGGAGCAAGGGATCGAGAACATATTTGAAGAAATAATGACCAAAAACTTCCCTCACCTGGTGAAGGAAATTGACATACAAGCCCAGGAAGTGCAGAGTTCAAACGAAGATGAACCCAAACAGGTCCACACCAAGATACATTTAGATACATTATAGTTAAAATGGCAAAGGTTAAGGACAAAGAGAATCCTAAAAGTAGGAAGAGAGAGACAGCCAGTTACTTACAAGGGAGCTCCCATAAGACTATTAACTAACTTTTCTACAGAAACTTTGCAGACTAAAAGTGAGTGGCAGGAGATAGTCAAAGTGATGAAAAACAAAGGCCTACAACCTAGATTGTTTTACCCAGCAAGACTATCATTTAAAGTTGAAAGAGAGATAAAGAACATTCCAGAAAAGAATAAGCTAAAGGAATTCATTACCACCAAGCCAGCATTGCAGGAAATGTTAAAAGGGCTTCTTTAAGCAGAAGAAAGATGAAAACAATCTAACTGAAGATCAGAAGTACAAATAACAAAATGGCAATAACTATGTACCTATCAATAATCACCTTAAATGCAAATAAATTAAATGCTCCTATCAAAAGACATAGGGTGACTGGTGGATCAGAAAACAAGACCCATGCATATGCTGTATACAAGAGAATCACCTCAGATCAAAAGATACACACACAGGCTGAAAGTAAAGAGATATAATAAGATATTTCATGTAAATAGAAATGATAAAAAAGCTGGAGTAGCAATACTTATATCTGACAAAATAGAATTTTTTTTTTTATTTTTTTTTTTAGCTGAGCCATCCTGCCACCTGTTGGCAGTTCAGCAGCTGCTCAGCTCGGGCCGTGAATGGAACCAGTGACCCTGTTGCTCAGAGTTTGCACTCTTGAGTGAGCTCTTAACCAACTGAGTCCCTCAGCCAGCCAAAATAGACTTTAAAATAAAGAATATAATACAAGACAAAGAAGGGCACGATATAATAATAAAGGGATCGATCCAATAAGAGAACATAACTAAACATCTATGTATCCAACATAGGAGCACTTAAATATATGCAACAGATATTGACTGACATAAAGACAGAGATCAACAGTAGTACTACCATAATAGGGCACTTCAACACCCTACTGACACCAATAGACAGAATCTCCAGACAGAAAATCAATATGGAAACAGTGGCCTTACATGACACATAAGACCAGTTGGATTTAATTGATATTTTTAGAGCATTTCACCCCAAAGCTGCAGAACACACATTCTTCTCGAGCACACATGAGACATTTTCCAAGATAGACCACATGCTAGGATACAAAACAAGTCTCAAAAATTTAAGAAAACTGAAATCATATCAAGCATCTTCTCTGACCACAGTGCTATGAAATTAGAAATTACAAGAAAAAACCTGGAAAATACACAAATACATGGAGGCTGAATAACGTATTACTAAATAATGAATGGGTCAACAGTGAGATCAAGGAAGAAATCAAAAGATACCTCGAGACAAACAAAAATGAAAACACAACAACTCAAAATCTATAGGATGCAGCGAAAGCAGTCCTAAGAGAGAAATTCATAGCAATGCAGGCCTACCTAAAGAAACAGGAAAAATCTCAAATCAACAGTCTATTCTTACACCTAAGGGAACTGAAGAAAGAACAGCAAAATAAGCCCAAAGGGAGTACAAGGAAGGAGATAATAAAGATCATAGTGGAAATAAATGAAATTGAGACCAAAAAACAATACAAAAGATCAATGAAACCAAGAGTTGGTTTTTTGAAAAGATAAACAAAATTGACCAACCTTTAGTCAGATTCATCAAAAACAGGCGAGGACCCAAATTAACAAACTCAGAAATGAAAGAGAGAAGTAACAACAGACACCACAGAAATATAAAAAATTTTAAGAAAATACTATGAGCTATTATACACCAACAAATCAGACAATCTGAAAGAAATGGATACTTTTCTAGAAGCATACAACCTTCCAAGGCTAATTCAAGAGGAAATGGAAAATCTGAATAGACTGATTACTACCAGTGAAATTGAATCAGTAATCAACAAGCTCCCAATAAAGAAAAACCCTGGTCCAGATGGCTTTTAGGTGAATTTTACTAAACATTCAAAAAAGAATTATTACCTATTCTCTTCAAATTATTCCAAAAAACCCAGGAGGGAAGGCTCCCAGACCCTTTTTACGAGGCCACTATTACCCTGATCCTAAAATGAGACAAAGACGTTACAAAAAAAGAAAACTACAAGCAGATATCCCTAATGAACATAGATGAAAAAATCCTCAACAAAATATTAGCAAACAGAATTCAGCAATACATTAAAAAGATCATACACTATGATCAAGTGGGGTTCATTCCTAGTATGCAAGGTTGGTTCAATATCTGCACATCATTTAAGCTTATATGCTACATTAACAAAATGAAAAATAAAAATCACATGGTCATATCAAAAGATGCAGAAAAAGCATGTGACAAAATACAGCAGCTATTTATGATAAAAACTCTTAGCAAAGTGTGAATACAGGGATCATATCTCAACATAATAAAGGCCATATATGATAAACCCACAGCTAACATACTCAATGGGGAAAAGCTAGAAGCATTCCCCTTAAGTTCAGGAACAAGACAGGGTTGCCCACTTTCTCCACTTTTATTCAACATAGTTCTGGAAGTTCTAGCCACAGTAATCAGACAAGAAAAAAAAAAAAGGCATCCAAATTGGAAAGGAGGAAGTAAATTTGTCATTATTGGCAGAAGATATGATACTATATAGAGAGAACCCCATAGACTCCCCCAAAAAACTATTAGATGATATTTACTAAATGAATTTAGTAAAGTAGCAGGACACAAAATTAATATTCAGAAATCAGCTGCATTTGTATACATCAATAATAAACTATCAGAAAGAGAAATTAAGAAATCAGTCCCATTTACAATTGCTTCAAAAACTATAATATACTCAGGAATAAATTTAACCAAAGAAGTAAAAGACCTGTATTCAGAAAATCATAAGACACTGAAGAGAGATATTAAAGAAGGTACAAATAAATGGAAACGCATAACATGCTCATGGGTAGGAAGAATTAATATAGTTAAAATGTCCATACTGCCTAAGGCAATATATAGATTCAACACAATTTCTACCAAACTACCAATGACATTTTTCACAGAAATAGAACATATAATCCTAAAATTTATATGGACTATAAAAGACCCCAAATAGTCACAACAATCTTGAGAAATAAGAACAAAGTGGGAGGTATCATGATACCTGACATCAAAGCATACTACAAGGCTATAGTAATCAAGACAGCATGGCACCTGCTTAAAAACAAACACATCAATTAATGGAACAGAAGAAAGATTCCAGAAATAAACCCTTACAGATATGATCATTTAATCTACGACAATGGAAGAATTTACATTGGGGTAAAGACAGTCTATTCAATAGATGTTGGGAAATATGAACAGACACATGCAAAAAAATGAAGTTGGACCACCTCCTTACGCCATCTACAAGAATAAATTCAAAATGGACTAAAGAGTTAAATGTAAGATCTGAAACCATAAAACTGCTAGAAGAGAACATAGGAAGTCAATTTGCAGACATTACCCTTAGTAATATTTTTACTGATATATCACCTTGGGTAAGGGAAGTAAGAGAAAAAATGAACATATGGGATAATATCAAACTGAAAAGTTTTTTCACAGCAAAGGAAATCATCAATAAAACAAAAAAGCAACCTACTGAATGGGAGAAGATATTTGCCAGTGATATATCTGATAAGGGGTTAACATCCAAAATGTATAAAAAAACTCATTCAACTCAACACCAAAAAAACAAACAATCCAATTCAAAAATGGGCAGAAGATATGAAGAGACATTTTTTCTAAAGAGGACATCAGATGGTCAACAGGCATATTAAAAAATGCTCAAACTCTGGGCCGGCCAAATGACTCAGTTGGTTAAGAGCTCGCTCAAGAGTGTGAACTCTGAGCAACAGCAGTTTGAGTACTGGCCCAAGCTGAGCTGCCAACAGGTGGCATGATGGCTCAGCTAAAAAAAAAAAAGCTCAAACTCACTAATCATTAGAGAAATGAAAAAAACAAAAAAACCCACAATGAGATGCTACCTCACTCGGGTCAGAATGGCTATCATTAATAAATTAACAAACAAGTGCTGGTGAGGTTGTGGACCAAAGGGAACCCTGGTGCACTGTTGGTGGCATTGCAGATTGGTGCAGCCACTATGGAAATCAGTGTGGAGGTATCTAAAAAAGCTGGAAATGAAACTACCTTATGACCCAGCAATTCCACTCTTAGTTATCTATCCAGAGAAATCCAAAATGCTAATTTGAAAAAATATATTCACCCCTATGTTTATTGCAGCACTATTCACAATAGCCAAGACTTGGAAACAACCAAAATGCCCATCAGTAAACGATTAAGAAACTGTGGTACATGAATCTAGAGAACATTATACTAAGTGAAATAAGTCAGTCAGAGAAAGACAAATATCATATGATCTCACTTATACATGGATTCTAAGGAACTGAATGGATGGGAGAAGTGGATGGAGATAGTCTCAGAGACACAGAGGAAGAACTGAGGGTTGTTAGTTGGGAGGGGGTGGGGATGAAGGAGAAGAGGAAGAGATGAGACAATACAAATTGGTAATTACAATACGGCCTCAGGGATAGAAAAGACAGTCTGAGGAATATAATCAATAATGTTGTAAATACTTCTTAGGGGGCCAGATGGACTCATGTCCTGTTGGGGAGACCACTTCATAGTCGGTGTAGAGGCCTGACCACTGCACTGTATTTCTGAAGCTGATGTTGAATAATATTTTATGTCAACTATAGTTATATATACATATAGTCACGGGACATGGAGAGTGGAAATGGAGTCAATGGAATTGTAATAGAAAAGCATGATATCAGGGGGGAGGGTAATAGAGGGGGAGAGGGGGGTTGTTACTTTGTGAGGGTGAAAAGGATAACTATTGCATTGCTCTGTACACTGAAACTAACAATACAAAATTAAAAAAAGAAAAGAAACTGTGGTACATTTATACAATGGAGTATTACTCGGCCACAAAGAAGAATGAAATCTTATCATTTGCAACGATATGGATGGACCTAGAGAACATTATGCTACATGAAATAAGTCAGCTTGAGAAAGACAAATACTGTATGATCTCACTTATATGGGGAATATAAAGAATAGAATAAATGAGCAAACTAATCAAAAATAGTCTCAGAAATACAGAGAAGAAACTGAGGGGTTCTACAATAGATGGGAGGGGGGTGGGGATGAGGGAGAAGGTGAGGGGATTAGAAAGCACAAGATTGCCACGGGGATACAAAAGACAGTTTGGGGGATATAATCAATGTTGTCAAGATTTGGTAGGGTATCTGATGGACCCTTATCTTATTAGGGAGACCACTTCACAGACAGTATAGATGCCTGACCACTGCACTGTACACCTGAAGCTGAAGCTAAATAAAACTGAATGTCAACTATAATTTAATATATATATATATATATAGAGAGAGAGAGAGAGAGAGAGAGAGAGAGTCACAGGATATGCTGTGGAGTACAGCATAGGGAATAGAGTCAATGGAATTATAACAGGTATACAAGATGTCAGAGGGGTAGTAGATTGGGGGAGGGGGATTATCATTTTGTGAGGGGTGTAAATGTTTAACTATTACATTGTTTTGTACACCTGAAACTAATTAAAAAAAATACTTTTGTTCTTAAAAAGTAGGAAATCAAATATGGTCAACTGTGACACGGCCTACATTTAAGATGACTCTTCCAATGTCCCTATATACGAAAACCCGAAGACCAAGGTGTCTTATAAGGCCTTGAAGCCTCATCTGATGAAGTCTGGTACCCCAATTCTCCCAGTGTCTATGGAGTCCCCAAGACTCCTAGGAATTCAAGTGCATGAGTGAATACATTCCTGAATCAGGACTTTATCATCAATATTATTTGCAAGACACATAGGCAATTCCAAAGCTATACTCAAATGTAAAACAACTTTTAATACCAATCCCTGTCAAAAGGACTCATTTCATATTGCCAAGTTACTAGCAGTTATTAAAAAAAAATACTTTTGCTATTTGCAATGTCAGGTATTTTCTGTCACAAGCTGAAGGTAACAGGCTCCCTTTCTTACCTACAGGATAAAATAATTCCAGGAATAAAAGGAAACTAAATAAATAAGGCTGTATAGCACCAATGCTAGATTTGAGGTTAATCCTTTTTTTTTTAACAAGGTTTTACCTTTTATTGGGTCCCCTATAAAGTAAGGGATGACTAGGAAATACTGATTTTCCTTTTCTCTCCAAAGGCTAAAAGAGAATAGTAACAGATTAACGACATCCTTACTCAGTTAGCAATGGAAAATAGACCAAGAATTCAGGGACATCCACAACACCTTCCAATTTGAAGTCATATTTGCAGCCAAATAAAGGATAATCTCCTTTCTTCTGAAACTTCACAGTATATATTTCATTTCCAAATGATTCAGTTTTTGAAGTTTCAAGGCGTCTTCTATAATGGTTATCCCCAAACCAAAATAAAAAAATCAAAACTGTTATTAACAGGCTTATTTTGATCAGATCATACATGTGAAAAAACTACAGGATGCAATTTTAAAAGACAATTGACCTAAGCTTTTTAATTGAATTTGAGCTACTTTTAAGGAGCAATATACTAAAAGATCATTAACAACCTCTCTAATAATAAAATTAGGCTGGAGGCAGGCATGTTGAAAATGACAGCTGGTTAATTCTCTGTGCCTCAGAATCTGATCTGCCGTTTGTCCAACACTACAACCTCTGGTTGAATGTAATATCAGCCTCCAATTTACACATTAAGATGTTTTAAAGGTTCATCTGTAAATCTGTATTTCTGAACTTAAATTCTGAGTGTCTACTCAAATACATTACCAAAATGTTCAGCACTTGTGAGATCAACAAGGCGTGTTTTCAAGTTTTACAAAAACTCTATTTCTGATCAACATTTGTTACTTTAAAATAAGCTTAACACTTAGCACTTTGTAACCCACAATACATTTGAAAGTACTTACATTAGTTCAAAGCTATTGGGAGTGGTACCAATAAAATAGCCTCCAGGGCTAAGTCTCTCACAAGCATTTCTGAGCATTGTGTCAGCCTGCTCATAGGACTCAAATGAGTAATGACAGACAAACTGACAACTGCAGATGTCAAAGCACATTTCTGGATCACGAAATTTGTCAATCAAAAGTTCCTAAAGCAAATTAAGATGGGTAAACATTTTGAAATTAAGTGCAGCATAAAAATTTTTTAATAAATTAATTTCTAGAATTAGGGTTCTTAAAATAAAAGTAGACATGCCCCCCAACTGACCTATCCTTTCTCTCATAGTCTTTACTATCTCTTATGTATAACAATTCTTGTTCAATAGAATGATTCCCATTTTCATAGTACATAATTTTAAAAACTAGGGATTCTGAAATCATGTTAAAATATATCAAACATATGTGACATTTAAAAGAATTGACCCTAGGGCCGGCTGAGTGGCTCAGTTGGTTAAGAGCTCGCTCAAGAGTTTGAGCTCTGAGCAACAGCGGTTCGAGTCAGCCCGAGCTGAGCAGCCGCTGAGCTGCCAACAGGTGGCAGGATGGCTCAGCTAAAAAAACAAAAAATAAAAAATAAAAGAATTGACCCTTTTATTTGGCTTCACTTGAAAGCTAAAGTAGAATGACTGAACAATAACTTTAAAAAACCTACAAAGTTGGCCTCATGGACATTTAAAAAAATATATACAAGTGTTTTTAAAGGTTTCCAGCATTCTAGCAGTATACTGCCTCTTTTCCTCTCATTTTCAAAACTGCAAACAACATGTGTAGGATTAAAGGTAATAGCTCTAATAGCTTAATGAGCTAACAAGTCAAACAAAGAACATAAAATTCAAGGTGAGACTTTCACCATTCAAGTGTCTTCTGTAGTTCTTAAACTTCAGAGTTGTCAGGCAATTCAGAAACAGGTAGAAGGTGAAATAAAACAGACTCTAAAATGTTGGGAAACAACCCTTATAAATTACAAGGTGAACAAAACATAAGTTCATTTCTATTTCAAAATACTGTAAAATAAACCCTGTCCAAACAGAAAAGCAACAACTGACTTCAAAAGTTCAAATTATTAAAAACAAAACATTGTCAGAAGTACTGAGGGGATCATTTAAAAAATTTATCATAATAGAATTTCTAGTTGAAACTGAAAATGCATGTTCTAAGATTAATATTTCAAAGCACATTTTCAAAAAGAGCTGATTTTTAAAACAAATAATTTTATCAAACTAAAAATATGAAAAATAATTGATAAATTTTTTAAAAACTTGTACCTTTGAACAATCAGCAGTTATAAATTCTGCATTGAAAATATATTCATTATCACGACGATTTTTCATGTCCTCATACCGCTGCTGACATTGTTTGACAGAAACATCAGCAATATCTGAAAGGGAAAGGGGTTTTACTGTCAACAAAGACCTGCAGAGATAACAAAACATAAATGCAAAGATGGTACAAATCTAGACATTAATTTCAACTTAAAACTTTGGCATGAAATCTAGCCTAGTACAAGCAAAAAGGTTCTATTTCCTTCAAAACAAAAAAGTCTTTGCTACAATGTAAATGCCCTATTATTTTTCAAAAGTCATTACAAGCTCTCTCAATAGATACGTATAACAGAAAAGTTCTATCATGATTTTTAAATGCTTACTGATTGTTAAAAGCAGAAAGTTTAGATTCCAATTTGAATTATAAAACTTAACACTGTATGCCCAGGTTTGGAAATGTCAAATTTAAATTTTCTGAATCAAATGTTATTTGCCGTTTCCCATGTTGAGATTTGCATGGATGGATCAAAAGCAATAGTAGGTAAAATGCTGGCACCTTATTATGAATATAAGATAGTGGTACCAAATGGTACTGGTAATACTTATATTCTTTGTCACTATAAACCAGCATGAGGAGGGGGGGAAGAAAAGCCAGCTTCATTTAAGAATATCCTTGAGAAAGCAGTAAAAATTAATTTTATTAAGTCTTGGCTCTTTTTAATATTCTATGTGATGAAATGGAAAGTAATAAAACATTTCTGCTACATAACAAAATTTCAACAGGACTGGTATGATTGTGTTGTGAACTGTACTGCTCACTTTTTTCATAGAAAATTGTTTTCACTTTGAAAGAATAACTGACAGATAAACTGGATATTCAGACTTGGCAATTTGACAGACATTTTCTTGAAAATGAACGCAGTGAGCCTGTCACTTCAAGGAAAACAACAGACGTAATTGTTACTAATGATAAAATTTGAGCTTTCAAGTGAAAATTACAATTCTGAAAAACTTGTATCTACCACCATGGGCTAGGTAGGCATCTTGCCATTACTTCTCTGATTGGTGGAGATATTAAACATATGTGATTTCTTGATGTCAACATAGGGAAGGTTTTGCATAACTTTACTGAACATTATTTTTCAAATATTATAAAATCTCGCAGGGCCAAAGATTCATTCAAAATGCAAGACAGGCCAATGGATTTAAATGTAACAATATGAAAAGTCATCAACAGGGTTTCAGATTCCAAACTATGGATATTTACGGTACATACAGTTTGTCAAATTGGATATTTAAGGAACTACATACAGTTTGTCAAATTTTGATATAGTATCAAAGATGAACTCCTCAATTATCTAAGAAGACTATTAAAATATTCCTTCATTTTACAACTACTTATCAAATAAAATAACAAATCACAACATACTGAATGCAGGAAAAGGTGTGAGAATTCAGTTGTCTCCTATTATTCCAGACTCTAAAGGGATTTGCAAAAAATATTTTTAAAATGCCAGTCTTCTCACTAAATTTTTTTTAATGGATTAAAAATATGTTTTAAATTCTCAGTTTTAATTTCTATAGTCAATAGATACAGCCACATACACAAAAACTTTTGGGGTCCTCAATCATTTTAAAGAGTGTACAGGGGTGGCTGGGTGGCCCAGTTGGTTAGAGCGCATGCTCTGAACAAGGCTGCCAGTTCGATTTCCGCATGGGATGGTGGGCTGTGCCCCACCACCCCGCAACTAGATTGAAAACAATTACTTGACTTGGAGCTGATAGGTCTTGGAGAAACACAGTTCCCCAATAAAGTTTAAAAAAAAAAGAAAGAAAAAGTGTGTACAGTGGTCATAAAACCAAAAAATTTGAGAAGTGCCAATGTAGGCAACACTTCACAGGTCATGCTGTATACTTCCGTTACTTATCACATTGGAAAGAACATGATGTCTGCTTGTTCCACTTGAGTGTTAAGAGTGACTAGTGGGTTCAGGTGCTTGATTCAGTTATAAAGTTCCTTTCACCTAATAGCTTTAGCATCTTTTTTATGATTGTTGCTTAGATTTCATCAAGGGTAGAAAAATAGTGATTTTCATCATTCCTCCTGCACTTATTCATTATGATTTTTCAAGAAAGAGGAACTTCCCTTTTCAACCATTTGATTACCTTGAAATATGGTTCAAGCAAGGTAGGCAAGATAAACACTCAATCCCCACCTCCCCACTTAATTTATGAATTTCAGAATAATGAGTAAGTTTCCTAGCAACCTCCAAGGATAAACAATAAGATTTTTTCCCCTTTATCTGATGTATTTCCATCCACTGTCATCATTATTTTTGTTGACGAAATTGTCGTATCTTTTTAAGTGTGTATTTTAGACATGACTCGAATCATTTTTAATTGCTCCCTTCCTTTTAGGAAGAACAAGTTATCCCAGGCTAATTAACCATACTATACCACCATTAATAAAATCTCATATCTCATTTTAAAAACACCCATCTCACGAATAGCCCCCAGATATACTGTCATTGATATTTTAGTGTTGTGTTGATAATGAGATCCTTTTTACTTTCCATTTCCCTGACTGGCCACAAATTACTCTTTTTTCGCATTATTTATCTTACCAGTACAAACTAGCTTGTTAATTCTTCCCTTTTTCCATTTGAGCAAATCTCCACCTTTACCACATCCCAGGTCCAAAACAGTGATATCACGTTTTTTTTTCTGTCTCAAATTTTCTAAAAATTCTCCTAAAAGAGAGAAATAAATCACAGTAAATATCTCCTCTCCATTTTTACTAAAGCATAAACTGTTGCCCCTAATAACCTATTAACTTCTGCCCGACATGTAATACAAATTATTTTTCATTTTTGTAATTCATAATTTTTGGTAAGTGTTTCAAAATATGACCAAGAGTTAATTAATTTAATCTTCTAGCATTAAAGATGAAAACGCATGTATCTGGTATCTTTGAAAGTTAAGATAGGTTTTTGAAGGTTAGTTTCAGAATCTGATTTAACATTAAAAAGCAGATATTTCAAATTTTAATTAATACAAGACTCAACAATTATTCATGAGAAAAACTATTTATATTTTTTTATAGTTTACTCTTCTCAAAACGAAGTATTTAGCCTATTATACACCTACGTTAATCAAAATAATTATAGGATAAGAGTGCTTGATATTCTCAAAAGATATCAGGCTTACCACCAAAATAAATACAAGAACTAGTCAAAAAACTATACATACCTCTTAATTTTACTATCATCAGAATTCTTAAACATTCTGAAGTAAAAATGGAATCTTTTATCCCAATCTACAAAAATCACATTAATAGCCAACAAATAATATGATTAGGTGCCCATATTATCAGTAGCCAAATGCTTCAAATATTAAATGCATCTTAATATTCTTAGACAATTGAAGTATTCAGCAATTCTAAAACTTGATACAACAGGGCATCCTAGATTTAATCTTCCTATCTTTATCACTAAGTTTAACACTTCTATTTCAGGTGTGTACTATTTTGACTGCTAACATATTCTCTATAAATGCTTCTGTCTTTCACTGTCCACAGGATCTCAAAGTAATTTCAACAGAGGTTCAAGTGTTCCATATTTAACTTTCTGTGATGACTCTTAAGAAAATAGCATAAAAAATAACACTGAAAGAATGAAAAACAACAATTATAAAATCTCTTTATTTCCACACAGTAAGACTAAGGAGGAGGGTAATCATCATGAAACATTACTAAGATATCTTCATCATATTCAAGAACAGTACTCAACTATTTACTAAGCTATAAGCACCAAAAAGAAAGAGAAAATGAACAACAGAGAATGGGTGTTGAGAAGAGACAGAAAAAAGCCAGAGAGGGAGCTTGGCATATACCACATGGATTGCATCAGAACCAGGAAGACAGGTGCAAATGGCAGAGCACCCATTTGAGATAGTTGCTGGAACAGCTGAAGAAGGAAAATACCATAAATATCCTGAGATACATCTTTGCTAAGTTTGACTTAAGCCTTTTAATGAATAAATACATAAATAAATGACACATCAGTTAAAAGTACCCAATGATAAGTTATCTGCATTAGTGAATCTGCACAGAAAAGGAAATGAAATTAGGACTAGGGTCCAAAGATTACCTTAGTATAGGCTAAAAATGACATAATATTAACCTTGAAAAAAAAAAGAAAGAAAGAAAAAAAAGCTGACACTTAATTACCCTACCTGACAACTGGCAGAGTGCCATAAATCATATTTTTGTAATAAAACATGAATATTAAAAAAAAGGAAAATATTAAAATGTGCTTGAAAAACAAGCTTAGTTTCCACTCCTAATACTACTCAGAATGTCTAATTTACCTTTAAAAATTAGTAAATTATCATCAAAACTAGTAAGAAGTGCACATAATTAGCATTTTATTCTTTCCAGTGTAACCAAGAAAGCATTCTCACTTTTCCTGAGGCTGGCTTTAAAACACAAAAATAGAAATAAAAATATCTTACTGTGGAAAACTTAAAAATACACAGGATTTTAAGAATTCTAAACTCATGTAAGAGTCTAGTAAATGTACTAGATATACAAAGCAATAAATATATCCTGAATCATATTTCTTCCACTGACTTTCACTTTAAGTTTCAAAGGTAACTTTCCATAGAAAAAATGCTGGCTCCAAAAAATTGAATGTCTTCATCAATTCTCAACATAAACTTTATTTCACCTCAGACACCATACAAGAAAGATAAGTTCAATGGACAACCAACACACATGACCTTTACCAACTCATTAAAGGCCTAGAGATAAAAAATCCTGATATTGCCCATTTTCTTGACTTAATGGAACCTGAATGTTTAATCCAACATATCATTGCTCCCAAACTAAGTGAAACAGAAATAATTACTTGATAGCACTGGGTTATCTTAATTCTAAGTATGAAAGGAACATACTACCTTTTGAAAACCTAACTTTTCAACTTAATATCTATTAAACATTCATTAATATCTTATGTAGTCAACCAAAAGTGAATATGAAAAGAATTTATCTCAAAGGCATTGTTTTAGTTTTGGCTCCAATTCTATAAAGCCAAGGTTTGATAATTAAATGCACAGGAATTAAAGATCTAGTATCTTGGTGTATGATTAACCATGTGGGGAGGGGGAGAGTGGAGGGTGGGAATGAGACATAAGAAGAAATAAAAAATTCCAAACTATAAATCAAATAACAATCATACCAATGAGGACGCTTTTCATCCAATTATTAAAGTTTCTTAGATAAAAAATACGACTTTGACTACGCTTCTCCAAACCAACTTCCTGAAGTTCATTGTAATGGGCAGCCACTGCTGAGCTGTGTCCTTCTTCCAAGTTCTGAAAATAAAAGAATGGAACAAAATTAAGAATCAGAACATGGCAAAAAATAAGCCTCAAAGAGCATGTGTGTGACCTATAAAGGATAAAATACTACTGAAATTGGTAAACTTTATTAAGCAATGGCATTAGCCACAGAAATCCCACTAATTATAATCAGATGTAAGAATTGTTTTCCCGTTCTCTATTTTTAAAAACATCTCTAGGTTCAACATTTTTGTCTTGATCTTTCATTGGTATAATTTTGCTATCAATGACTTAGTAAAACAAGTACTCTTCCAGAGTTCTGATTTATTCAGTTCAATAAAAGCCAGTCAGTAGATGGGGTTCCTACAAGAAAATAAAATAGGAATGTTCATAAATATATATATATATATATATATATATATATATATATATAATATTACTATAAAATAGTCGTGGGCATTAAATGATAATACACACAAAGGGATAAGAACTCAATATGCTATGTTCAGTGTCAGTGATTTCTATTATTATTTGCTATTAATCTAATTCACCATTTTCAATTTGTGCTCCCCTACTTAAGGACCTAAGTATTCTGCAAAAATGCCATGGTAGGTAAACGGCTTCAGATCACTCCCTTTTCCTTGTTCAACCAAAGTGATTCATCTTTTACCTATTTTACATATCAGTTTTTAAGATTTTTCACTTGAGAAAAGACTTCTGCTGCTAAGTTTGAAAACTACATTTATAATACAAACTCCTCTCTGTCACAAGGTAATGACAAATGCCTGGCCAATCTGCCACTTTCCTCTGCAGGGCTGATGGCAGAATTTTACCCATTCAATGAAGTTCTCTTGCCCTCCAAATCCAGATTCTGCCTCAGATTCCTTCACAATATGGTATTCCCAGATCAAAATGATTTCCTAACCCTTGCTCTGTAGTAACCCTGCTAAACCTCAGGCTTTTGCATTCACTTAGCTAAAACTGTAGAGTAACTACCCCAATCAGGAGGTGAAAACAACATAGTTAAAGGAAGTGCATGAAGAAAGGAATGTAAAGCTGGGTATGACTTTGAAATTTATCATTTTAAATGATAATCTCAACTACTTCAGATATAAAAAAAGAGATGAACACCTAATAATAAAGGAAAAGGTGAATTATCTGTAGCCCATACTCTTGTCTTTCTTAAAACTCTAAGAAAAAGCAAACTATAAAAACTAGCTTCAAGTTTCTAGTAAAATAAGAAATATCTGAAATAACATAAAAATATCTCAGAAATTTCACCTAATAAAAACAATTAAATTATGAGTTAAAAGCTTACTCTATCTTAACACAACATCCATTAAAAAAAGAACACTGTTAAGTTATTCAGACTATGTGAAAAACCAGTATTATCTCACAGACACTCCACATTTGACATAACCCATTATGAATAAAAGAGAAAACATTCAACATACTTTTTGCCTTTCAGGAGTATCCTCAAGTTCTATTTTTCTGATTTTCTGAGTGCCATATCCAGTACAAGGTTCATCTTTTGGAAAATCATCAGTTTCCAGTCTTCTTTTCCTTGAAATGCCTTCATCATCACCAGAACCTTTTTCCTCTAGGACAATTTCAGCATCAAGTTTTCTTTTCTTGGATGGAGTGTCTTCTCCACAACTAGAACTTTCCTTTACAAGATCATCTGCAAACTCCATTTTTCTCTTTTTTGGTGTGTCTACTTGATCACAGGTAGTAACCGTTTCAGAAATACCAGTCCCAAGGGTGATTGTGTTTTTATCAATACCGAATGAAGACTGTTTCTGAGTCTACTCATGCATTTGCCTCTTCAAGAAAGATCTTTTTACATTCCTTTGCTTTTGACGAATTTTCCCTTTTGGATTACTTAAACAGATGGTACAACTTCATGAACTAACACTGAAATGGCAAAAATTTGATATTACTTATATACCACTAACGCTGAGACTTTAAAACAATTTTAAACAAAAGTAAGCCATTTAATTTCAGTGATCAACTAGTTTTAAAAAATCTCATTATAGAGACCACTGAAAATAATGTTAATTGATATACATTAAAATCATTTTCTGAATATGCTAATGTGGGAGTAATAATTATAATCTCCAAACATTTCTACAATCTTATCCATAAAAGTCACTATTGACATTAAAACTGAAAAATGAAGTGGGGTATACAAGTTCCTTTTCTATGCTGATCCTTACTCTGTAGCCTTGATTCCCAAATTGTGTGCTGGGCACTGTAACAAACTCATACAGACACAGCAGGATATTGAAAAACTTTAAAGGAAGCACAGTGATATCTGACATCTGGAAGATTATCACAGATACAGCTTCAAGTAGAGCAGTTTCAACTGAGTATATTATACTACATCACTTTCAATAACATAACTTTGTGAAGCTGAGATTTTTGTGATACCAAAGAAAATCAGTGTTAAACAGGAAATGAAAATTGGTGATGTTTCAAGACTTGATTAATTGTTCAGTACCCATTGGGTGTACAGATACCATTAGTAATGACTCGTGGTTAACTAAGTTAAACACAAATATTTTTTCTTTCAGTTTGTGTGTTGTTTTCTTAAATAAAGTTGTTAAGACATAAATACTTAAATTCTTTGGACTAAATTACTTGTAAGTTGTACTGTTAGGTTATTTCTTTTGGCCTAGAGATACTGAAAAAAAAAATCAGAGACACTAAGAGCACCAATTACAGGAAACGTCTGGGAACTTACAGTTGACTTCGGAGAGCCCTATTTTGTAATAGGCATCAGAATTAGGTAGAAACTGAAGAGGGTGGAAATGTCTTTGGACAAGAAGTTTCAAGATTCAACTGGCAACTTAATAACCATTAAGTCTCTTTCAAATGCCCCTAGGTCTATTTGTAAAATGGGACAGGGAGGGAACTATCTATTGGACAGGAATTGTTCCGGTAATCCATTTATTGTGATTCAACAAATTTACTGAACCTATACTACAGAGGAGCTCAATGAGGCACTGTGTGAATTCATGTTTAAGAAACTTACAGCTTATTATGTACTACTATTAAAACTTTAGGCTGTATTATTTAAAACAATTGGAGAAAGGAGAGCAGAAGTACAAAAATCAGATTGAGTAAATTCAGAACCTGAAAGTTATGGAGAGGGTAAAAGTCTTTTGAGTACAGAAATAGAATAAGAAATAAAGTTGCTTAAAGGAATGGGTAAAAACAAGTCATTATAAACGGGGAAGGGTTTCAAGGGGCATGAACTTTCACTACCTGAGGTCTGAGATAACCAAATACCAAGACATGCCAAAATAGGAAGAGCTGTATCAGGAGTAAAAAAAAATCACCCCAAAAGGCAATTTGCAGAATGAATACTTAAAATGATTATCTAGTAAAACTGGCCTTTGAATTATCAAATCCCTATCTTCTCTGCCATTTATTTCCTAAAGAAACAGAAAGAGGTTTTAAATTGAAATAGACCAATGTGGTTTATCACCTTTAGCAGTAATTAACGCTGAAATTAGTATTGGGAATAGGTGTGAATTTTATTTACAGGTAACTGTTTCCACATGTCATAAAAATAATTAATTCTGTCAGAATAAACGACAAAGAATTCCAAACGATGGCTGGGTAAGAATGTTTGAAACATAGAGTCAAAGTGGAATAATAAACTCCAAACACCAGAGCTGCTCTTCAGAATCCTCGAGGAAGGAGCTTAGGGAAGTGTTAACTGACATCGAGATAGATATGCAATACATGACCAAACAGGCATTTCGACCTGCCTTTCCAGTCACACCTCTGAGGCAAGCCACGTCTCAGTCATTCCAGTTTCTCAGACACCAACCGAGTGGGGCTCCAGGGCCGACGGGCTTAAGCTCAAGCAGGATAAAGCTCTATGCTCCAACCCGCTAGCTACAACGGGGTCAACTCGGGAGCCCAAGAAGACGCGACAGACAAGAAGGAAATTCTTCAGCCAAGTTCACCCTCTCCCGTCACTGACGCGGCCTAGCCTTTAACTAAACCACCGGCTCAGGTTTCTGATCCTCCGCTCAAGACACACAGGCGCTTCGTTACATCTGACACCCTCTCTCTAGCCTGCCCGCTCAGCGCGGCCCTGGGGTGCAGCCTAATACAGCTCTTTAGTCTTCTCGAGACCCGGACTCGCTGGGTCTTGAGGATCAAGGGCACCCGCCGACTGCAACAAGTCCTTCCCATTTTGCTCCGCGCTAAGGGCAAAAAACAAAGCCTCCTCGAGACAGGTACTGAAGGTACAGAGTTAATGCGAAGCGAGGCCATGTCAAGAGTCAGAGAGCCCCTTCCACTTCGACTGCAGTGGAGCACCTAAACACAAAAGAAGGGCCGAATCTCCAGCCACCACACTCACCGATACAGCCACCCCAGGTTCTGTTTGCGGAAGCGGCGAGCGGCGCCACGCCACGCGTGTGTTGTTACGCCACTTCCGGGGAGTGTGCTGATCACGTGACGCCGCTCTCGGCAGAGAGTGGACGACGCGCGCCCTCCACCGGAACTACGAGTACCGTCGTGCCGCGCGCAGCGGCGTGCTGAGGTACGCACAGAGCGTTCACGGGCAGTCGCGAGCACGTTGCTAGTGGGCGCGGCTGGCCGGGCTACGGGTGGTGAGAGGCGAGCGTCCGCCTGAGTACCACGGGTTCCAGCACAGGGGTCTACGCTCGGCCCTGTCACTCTGCTGAGTGACACCGCAGTGTATCTGAGGATCTGTCTTCCGGCCTGTGTGTCGGCGGCCTCAACATCCTAAGAGGTAACCTGGGCCCAAGACCTCTAAGGGACAGCGGGAGGAATGGTGAGGGCACCTTCAACCCGGTGCACGTTGGGGAGCAGGCCCGGGGCGCGAACCCGACAACTGTTGGCAGGGGTCCTCCTGCGGGGTGGGGGTCATCCACACTCGCCCATCCCACCACCCTCTGCTGCCGAAAGAGGTCACCCCCGCCCTCCTCTGTTGGGCCAGTGTCCTGGCAAATCCTGCCTTTGGGACTTTTTCAGCTTTCTGCTGTAACCTTTCACCCTCTGCTTTTCCCTTCCTCGGAAGCCTGCTGAGGAGGGGCCTGGGTGTCCCCGCTCTCGGAGTTTTAAGAATGAGCAACACCTTACTTTTCCTTAGGGACTGGTAGGTCATTCCTTATCGCGGTATTTGGGAAGCCGTGCCTTACATTCCTCTCTAGGGAGTCCTTTCTCAGCTGTCAGATTCTGGAGAAAGGGGCAGCCCATACGTATGCTTGAGAAACGCCTCAGGGTGTAGAATTCTGTGTTAATTGGACTTTGGTATGGAATGGTTAGGGGAGACAACACTTTCTTTGTCCATCCCCCCCCCCCCACACACACACCCTCCGATTTCTACTGGAAAGTCGAAGGCACCTACTGTACTGAAACTGGAAAGCGCCATAGTTCAGGGCTTTCCACCTGAGATTAGGGTCAAAACCGTACCAGTGGACTAAGATAATTGATGTGTGTACATATTAACGTTGTTGTGCCTCAGCACTTTCCCACCTTAAGGGTGTAAAAACGTGATCAGATATACAGTCCATCCTGAATTATTCTTTACCAAAATTGATCCCTTTAAAAGCAGCTTTGAAAATGTTTTACTAGCCTGCCTACTTGTCAGTAGGCATAGTTCTATTAATGAGTAGACTTCGCTTTGGGGAAGGCAATATTTGCAGCATATTTACAATCCAGTCACTTCTAAATTGTGGGCATTAACCATTCTGATGTTGTTGATCCCTTATAAACTTTGGACCAAGAATGAATCCTATTTTTAACAAATGAGGATGAGCCATCAATTTCAGATGACTCCTTGTATTTTATATGCAGTGAGCCTAGGTTGAGAACTTCTGTTCTTGAATATTGACAACTGCAAATGTACTATTGACAATTGCAAACATAAGAAATTGAACGTACTCTTTAGGCACCCAGGCATTAGAACTAGGCAATTACATAGCATATATTTGCTGGTTCTGATGACAAAGTTCTTGAGATAACTGCAGTTGTAATTTTAGGGCAAATGAGTAATGTTGAAAATTTCAGAAATTTTCTCATTAGATTAAAAGCTTCTTAACTATGTGTTTATACAAACTCCACCATGAATTGATGTTGTGCATGAGATATATAGATCTCACATTTTGTAGTTTTTATAAAACTTAATTGGAAGTCATTTAAATCTAGTTGAGAGTAGAACTCTTGAAGATAGTAGTAATAGAGGGAGTAAATGGACCAGATAAAAAAGTTTTAAAAGTTACCGTTGGTGTTATTTTCCTCATTATTGCATGTATAATATGTTTTTCTGGAAATTGAATTAAAATTGTAATAGCTAATGTTTTAGTAGCTTCTATATACCTGATTAAGTGCTTTACACACTTGACTCATTTAATTCTTACATAATCCATTGGGGTAGTTATGGTTATTTTTGTTTTATAGATGAAGATTAAATAACTTGACCAACGTTATGCTGCGTGGAATTAGTGGAACTAGGATGTGGATTCAGACAGTCTAGCTCCAGAGACCAGACTCTATGCTAGAACTGAAATAGTGCCTGCTAGAAGGCCAAACTCAGAAATGGAAGTTGGCTGACACATAGTAGATTTTCAAAAAATGTTTTGATACTTCTTATGCTTGGGTTATTATGTTCAGAGAGAAAATGGCTGGACAAGGATGTTATCTTGCTAGAATGTGAGATCCATCAGGACAGGATCATCATTTTGTTCAGGGATTTAACCCAGGTGCCTTCAACAGTGCCTGGTACATAGTGGATGTTGATTAAATGAATGAATTGCCAAGAAAAGTTGTAAAAATCTTTCTAAAAAGGACAGACAGGAATTATTTCAACTCATTTATAATATTTCTTTATGTGCTGTTTTGATTATTTGACCCATTATTCACCTACTCACCCTGCCTGGTTTGGATTTCTCCTGGTTTGCATTATACTTAGAGAAAAGAAAGTAGTAATTTGTAAGTTTTTTGGTCAGACTAAAGGCAAGTGACAGATTCAATAGATACCATCCCTCTTTTTAAAGTCACTGGTTTTCAAAGTGAGATCACCCTGACTTGTAATTTTAAAGTGTGGTTTCTGTTGTAGAGTTGAAAATCGCATTTTTGAAACAAACACTGTTTTAAAAATATAGATACAATGTTATAACTTCCTAAGAATGATGTTCTTGGAGGTAGGAAAGAGGTGGTTTATGGAAAGTTTTTGGAGGAAGGATTGTTCCTCCTGTCCACTCACAAAATGCCCTCACTAAAAATTGACTACCTTTTTGGAGCACATAAGATAAACTTGTTTAAAAGGTCTTTTCTATGGTTGAAAGTTATGATTTGGTTGAGAAATCTCTTTGTTTAGCATGTGTGATGATTAGTTTTATGTTAACCTTACTAGGCTGAGGTACCCAGTTATTTAATCAAACGCTAATAATCTAGGTGTTACTGTAATGGTATTTTGAAGATGTGGTTAAACATCTGCAATCAATTGATTTTAAGTAAAGATTACCCTCAATAATGTGGGTGGACCGGATCCACTCAATTGAATGCCTAAATTTCAAACTGAGTTGTCTCAAGAAGAAACAGTTCTTCCTCAAGACTGCAGCATTGATTTCGGCTTGAGTTTCCAGCCTGAGTTTCTGGCCTGCAAATCTGCCCTACGCATTTCAGAGTTGCTAGCCCCACAAATGCATGAGCCAATCCCTTAAGATAAATCTATATCTATTTGTTTAAATGCATCCCTGTGTTTATTGCAGTGCTATTTACAATAGCCAAGACTTGGAAACAACCGAATTGCCCATCGTTAGATGACTGGATTAAGAAACTATGTTACATTTATACAATGGAGTATTACTCTGCTATGAAGGAGGAAATCGTATCATTTGCAATGATATGGATGGACCTAGAGAGTATTATGTTAAGTGAAATAAGTCAGTCAGAGAAAGACAAATACCATATGATCTCACTTATATGTGGAATCTAAAAAACTGAATGAACCAGCAAAGTAAATAGAAATAGTCTCAGAGATATAGAGGAAAAACTGATGGTTGCTAGTTGGGAAGGGGGGTGGGGCTGAGGGAGAAGGGGAAGAGATTAGACAGCATAAACAGGTAGCTACAATATTGCCATAGGGATATGAAAAACAGTTTGGGGAATATAATTAATAATGTTGTAAATATTTTGTAGGGTGTCAGATGGTCACATGTCTTGTTAGGGGGACCGCATTATAGATGGGGTAGAGGCTTGATCACTGCATTGTATACCTGAAGCTGATGTTGTATGTCAAATATATATATATATATATATATATATATAGTCATGGGATGTGGAGTATAGTGTGGGAGTGGAGTCAAGGAAATTGTAATAGTGATATTGGGGGGGTGAAGTGGGGCGGTGGATTGGGGGAGGGGGGTTGTCACTTTGAGGGGTAAAAAGTATAACTATCGCACTGTGTTGTACAGCTCAAACTAATTTAAAAAATGTTTATTTCACAATAAAATAAATTACTGAAAAAAAATTTAATAATAGATTTCTAGTAGATAGAAATATGTGTTTATCTAAAGAGAGATAGAGGCGCCGGCCAAGTGGCTCAGTTGGTTAAGAGCATGGGCTCTGAACAACAGGGTTGCCGGTTCAATTCCCACATGGACCGGTGAGCTGCGTCCGAGCTGAGTTGCCGCTGAGCTGCCAACGGGTGGCAGGATGGCTCAGCTGGTGAGAGCACATGCTGCTAACAACAAGGTTACCAGTTAGACTCCCCCACGTGCTGGCGGGCTACGTCCACCCTCAACTAACATTGAACACGGCACCTTGAACTGAACTGCCCACCTGCGGCCGGGTGTCTGAGTGGTTAGAGCGTGCACTCTTAGCAACAAGGTTTCCGATTCGACTCCCGCATGGAATGGTGGGCTATGCCCACTTGCAGCTAAGCTTGAACACAGCACCTTGAGCTGAGTAGCTGTGAGCTGCCGACAGGCGGCCGGATGGCGACTGGACTTGGAGCTGAGCTAGCTGCGTCCTCCACAGTTAAGATTGAAGGACAACAACTTGGCTGTTCGCCTTCCCCAATTCCCCAACACTGTTCCCCTTCCTCAATTCCCCAATAACATCTTTAAAAAAATAAAATAGAGAGAGATATATAGACATAAAGATACTTTTTTTATTAGTTCTGTATCTCTGGAGAACCCTATCTGATTCAGATTTTGATACTGAGAGTGGTTTTAGAGGAACATAATTTTAAGGATGAGTTTCCTGAATTGCTTATGGTATTCCTGGAATTGGTTCCTGAATCTGATTAGATTTAAAGGCATTAATGATTATTTCCAGTTGTAAAGAGGGCACTGATAGTCCAAGGTGTGACATAACAATAGGGACAGAGTCTTTTGTAAGTATTTGAGTAGGAGTATCTAATGGTGATATTTTGCATGTCATCATGTATTTGATGACTTAAAACATTTTTGTCAAATTAGCAAGCATAATGAGACTGGTTGCTCCTAACTACTGGAAAAAAGTGGGGAAAGAAAGGTTGAGCTTAGATCTTTAAATTCCCAACTCAAGCTCTACATAATTGACCTGAAAGTTTCTGTGTCTGCCCTAAAGAAACTATTCTCCTGTAACCGCAGAGCTGAGATTGCTGAAACCAAACCCAGAGTCTCATCCTGCAAAGTGACTGAAAATGCAAAATGAATTCCCAATCTAATAGGGTGTCTGCTGTTAAAATGAAGGCATTGAGAAGGAATGAGATCCTCAAATTTGGAATGGTGTACTGAGCCC